TATGGGCGATCTCCGTCATTCCTCTTAGAAACTGCAAAAGGGAGAAAGCTATTCGACGTTTTAGAGGAAAAGCAGTCTCACGGGGACAAAACGAATCGAAGATATCCTTCGATGTGTTGGTAAAAAAATGCATAAAACAGAAGGAAGAAATGAACGAGAACATTGATGCAGCAATATGTAGAGGAGAGTAATATTATGTGTTGGAAGCTTTCTTCCTGTGGGTAACCGTAATAAAACTGGCGGAGAGTAAATTTTGTGTCTAATTGGAAGAAGGTAGTGGTCACCAATGGAATCTAGGATCTTCAAACACAGAGAGAAAAGATCGGGATGGTTAGTGATCACCCTGTCCAACGAGTGCCACTTTGATCCTCTAGAGCAAATGTAATTAGGGGGGAAAGAAGATCAAAATCACCAACAATAATAAACAAGCAATCTGTTAGCAGAGGCAGTATGAAAGGAATGATAGAGTCCAGGAATAAGTTTTTATCAACCTGAGAACACAAAAGAGCAATGTACAGTTTGAGAAAACAGTAGAACGAAAGGATAAAAATTTGAGACTACAAAATACATTAAACAATCAATACACTTTGAAGAGTATATAAGAACCACCTTTTACTTGTTATAGCATGAAGAATACGAGAGAGAAACAACACCAACGCCAGTCTTTCCCAGTCGTGACGGAAGCAACTATATTCACGTGGAAGCATAAGCAAATTCACGATGTCTGCGTCTATAACCAACATTCTTAGACACAAAACACAAAATTGTTGGAGAGGATTCGAAAAACCGAAAGGTTGCTCAAGTCTACCATCTTTCCGAACAAGAATCAGACGTTCGTGTCTGCCGCAGAGTACCCATTCATATTTTCGGGAATCGTGCAAATGAGGGCAGTTCGACATCTTGCACGTCTACCTCTTCCACTTCTGCTCACCTGGTGAGATTCAAGCAGTAGCGAAGCACATTGTGAAGAATTTTTGAATCGTAAAAGGCCACTTTTGGGTATGAAATACGAATGGACGTTATTAAAAAATAAAAAATAGTAACAGAGACGGTGACACGAGAAATTGTTGTGCAACCAATCAAAGGGAGCACTCGAAATGTTGGAATACACTACTTATTTTTTGACAAACACCATAGATCATTCCTGGTATTGAGTTTGCCAAATTCCAACGTACCTAAGCATAGAATCATTGCAGTTATCTCTCACTTTTGAGGCATCTCGAAACAGCTCTGAAATATGCAAAAAGGGATATTCTGGCGAGCTTTGGTGAACCGTTTAACTTATACACTGATCTATTCCCGTACTTTTAAATGTTTGGATTTGTTCATAGTCCTTTCGCTTCCGGAGTAGCTGCTGCTTCTCATGAAAATTCATCTAAACAAGATTGATTGTCCTCAAGTAACGGTCAGACTATCTCAGTACCGCAGATTCAATTCACACAGTCTCCCGACCAATCGGGATCAAGCGAAACAGTTGAATCATTCGCTGAGCAGACCAAAATTTTGGCACAGATTTCACATCCAGGCACGAGGTGTGTCTATTACCCGGCATGAATTATTCCCATACCCGTTGGCACGTAAGCAATATTGTCCATGTGGCATATTTCTCAAAGGAAGGATTGGTTGAGGAGGCAGCACAGGAAGCTTGATTTGTGGATAGTCATAGATGGACAGACAGAACTCCAATAGGTGTGTGTGTGGGGACAGACGGACTCACTGAGGAAGTAGTTCGGTTACACATGTCCGACTGGACCGCGCTCATTCCGTTCGACGACAGTTTGTCGTGGGTGTGCTCACGCACGCATATCTTTTCTGGCAGTGTCACAAATCGGGGCAGTCTATCCGGAGTTGAAGTCGAGTGATCCAGTGAGTGAGTCTTCGTACATTTTATTAACTGATCCGGTGTAAGATGAGAGGAGAAAATGTCCTAATTTTTACATGTATTTTGACAACAATTTGTCAGATTACGAAATAAATCATATTTTTGTACGGTATTTTATTGTACCATACACATTATGGAAGCAAATCAGCCTAGACTTCAGTGAAGAATACTTCACGTACACACACAAACCGTCGTTACAACAGATAAATTATACAAAATGAGATTTTCAATTGACAGGAGATCAAAATGCAAGACTGATTGCCTACGGGTGAGACAGCGTCCGTCCATCCCCTCAATCCCCTAAGTGCACGTGCTGAAGAAGGAGTATATGCTACACAGGGTAGAACGGGTAGAATGTGCCCGAGATTTAGACAGCACGGAACGACGGGAATGATGCAATGCTAATTCCGTTTGTCACATGTACGGTTAGTGTCAAGATAGTCTGTCAGTTGACACAGAAATTGGTCTGAAATTCACCACCGTGGGCCTTTGAATTTGGCGGTGCCTTGTCACCATCGGATATTATATCACGAAATTACAGTGGAGAAGCACTCAGTTCTCATTTTTAAGTTCAGATTATCCCCCTTCCTTCCACGATCCAAGATTTAGGTACCATTTTATTTCGTGCAGTTGGCAGTTTCTAACTCTTGCCCGTTCTGTGAGAAATCATTAGAAACGAATGCATTATAATGGTCAAATACGTAAAACCAAACAGCATGCTGGCTGGGTACGTCACGCTCATTTCGACACAGTTTTCTTATCAACCTTTAGTAAATCATTCAAATTTCCTCACCGGACTCAATGTCCAGCTTTGCGACGTCTTAATAAACAACCCTAGGCTTTTTTCGCTTCGAACAACGGGCCCCTAGAAGCACCACGGACCACATCCCCATCGTGTGCATCCGAATGAGTATTATCACTTAGATTCATAAAAAAGAGAACCAGTCTGTATCTCCGTGAGAAGTGTTCAAAGTGCTTAATTCCCTCAAATCCTACAAGGCACATGACCCTGATTCACTTACCCCGTTTTATTGAAATTGTGCTTCGAACAACTTTCTTTATCTGTTTCTGAGTTGCTTAGTTTGTGTACGTGATTTGGAAATATCCATGATTGCTGCAAAAATGCCCAAATAACACTCATCAACAAGAAGGGATAGCACATCAACCACATTGAAAATTACGAAAAGATGCTCCTAAACCGCGTGACTCTCTTGTCCGTTGTTCACGGTATTGCTCGATTTGTTTATAACTCTTTCCTTGGCACTCTTGATGCTCTTCCTCACGTTGTTCATTCCATTTTATCTTCGTTGTACCAGAGTTACGAAATCGTCCGGTTACGTTGTCTCCATTTTCTCGATAACCAGAATGTAGCATTCTCAATCCAAGTTTTTATGATTGTAGGCTTTTACCTGATGTTGAGTACTTCCCGCACAGAACTCAACTCACTGTTTTTCGAACGGTAAAACTTTCATTTCTGTAGAAGATTTTCAAAGTGTGAGTTTTTCTGCTTTGTTTTTCTCACGGTACATCAATAATCAAGCGATTTCTTCCAATTTTATGGCGTGCAATTACGTTGAAGTCGTAGTGATCGGGTGGTTCTCTACTTATCCCGTTAGTCTTCGCAAACCCCGAGTCAAAGTTGTAGTTGGTCTACCCAAAGTTTTTATATTTATTTTAGCATTAAAACAGGCTCGCATTATCAGAAACTTTTTAGAAACCTACTAGAACTTTCGGTTGCTACTGTTGTCATCCCCAAGGATTACTATATAAAATTCACGGGAGTTACCCTGTCATATAAGCCTTCTTGGTTCAATCTTTTTAGTAACGTTTACATTAGGGCTCGTAGATTATCCTTCCACGCTTTTGCAATAAAAATGCTTGCCGTTCGCCTAAATGCAACTCTTAAATGTTTGACCATTTTTATTCTTCGACACCGGTTTTACCGTTCCTCAATCAAAAAGAGGAAGACTTTATCCTCATTTCTAGGAATCTCTTTAACCTATTTCCCACTACGGTGCTTTTCCCAAAACCGATTTGGTTCATTTTGTTATTTGCAAGCATTTTATGTGCATGCGTTAGATTCACTAGCCACATGCTGTCAAATGAATAACTCCATACGCACATTCATCTCACTACATGTGTCTCATCGGTGAATTCGTGCCAAATTTAGGCTTTTCCCTATGCATGTGTCCCCACATACCGAAACGGCTTCTCAGCCATATCTGGATAAATCGGCCAACTAGCATTATCGACCAAACACCTCACTTATCGTGTTTGTGTTTTCTTGCTTTTTAGTGCATGCTATTGCTTTGTCTTCGCTCTGACTACAGTTTTATGCATGCGTCTGTGCCTCATCCCAAGTACTGTGGGTTCACTCCATTGGGGAACACCAAGCCCAGTGTCACCTGACACGCGGTTTCGCAATGAACTCATTTTCAGACATTGGGGAAAGACCACTAGACTGCGGCGTATGTATTAAAAGTCATGCCTTTGGCCACACCAATGAAAATGATGGCGGGAAAATAAAGGGAAACAGGTAAAGGGCACAGACACACAATGCAAAAAATCTTGGAGCTTTCCAAATTAAAATGTTAGACGTTACGGTTTATCGACGCATTGATCAATGCCCAAAGAGCAACAAATATCGTTGGCTATAGTGGTGATTTCCAGCTATGCACGAGCGTTCACGGTAGATGAAATTAGATCCTTCTGCCTGCTTTGCCGGTCTAGAGAAAAAGAGTAGTGAAAATTAGGTAAAAATTCAACACATTTGCTCGAATTTATACTCAAACCTGACTGGAAGGTAATTTGATACAGAATGTTGGTGAAAGAACTTATCTTGGAGGGGGGGGAGATCGGTGCTATACAGAGACTGAATCAGTCTCCCTCTCTCTCTCATATATATATATATATATATATAGGGATGTAAAGGTACAGTTCAAAGCTGTACGGAAAGAATCACCAGATCAATGGGAGCGAACGGGAAGCGATTGTTTGCATGAATGAATCTCTGGATGAAGGGTCTACCGTTTTGCAATGTCTTATCCCAAATCAATTACCTATGAACTTTGGATCACATTGGGACTTTATAGGTGGATTGCAAAGAAACACCATATCAATGATGATAATGAAACGCCAAGATAAACGTGAGTCCTGTTCAATGACCACCATGATACTAACAATAACAATATTAACGTAATCTGAGTTTCATGAAGAGCCAGACAGATCTGTGTGCTTTCCGGCATTTAGAAGCGGAATATTGGATTAATGTTGGCACCCAAACAACTAATTTATTCACTTCATACTTTCACATAAAAAAAGAAAGCGTTTTTCACATTTTTGGTCATTTGCAACAGTCCATGATAAACGTGTATGATATTGATTTATTGCATGTTTGCATGACGTTATTGCACAGTGACCTCGAAACAACTCGTTTTCTTTATTTCACGTTTGAACTAATTTGTGTTGAACGGGTTTTTGAGAGCCTGAGTGATTTTAAAAAAATTAACAAAATGCAAGAATCACTGAATGACTGAAAAGCAGTCGAGGTTTTTTATTAACAGCAACCCTATTCAATGGTGATTCAATCTTTGTAAGCATTCCTTGTGACTGAGCTTATTGAAACTAGGATATGGCGGCGAAAACGTTCTTTTTAAATGGTACTAAGTCGCAAATATAGTGATGGTGTTTAGCGGCCGGTTAGCAGACATCTGTGTTAGGCATAAGCACACGTAAAGCTAACTGAATACAATGGGATACCTTGCCAAGGTAACGCATTTCTGATGTCGCGACAGTCAGCAACCTTTACCATATATCATGACACCGAGCAAAGCTGCATGACATTTACCCGCATCTATTCATTCGGCTGTTTTACTTTTCTCGTTCTAGATTGCAAGAAAAAAATGAGCACTGCCAAAGTCGCCCAGAGACCGATCAGCAAGCCGGTCCCAATACAGCTGGTGGATAAGAAAACTAAAACCAACGACAAAGTGGTTGTACCCAAGCCGATAGCGAATCGATTAACTGCCGTGGACAAATCGAAAAAGATTGATTCGGAAACAATCAAAGTTGATCTTGATCAGGCCAGTCAGCGTAGACAGGTAGGTTTGTGGCGGTCTAGTCTGTATACGCTGGTGGATATTGGCATTCACATTAATGGTTTGCAAACAATTTACCATTACAATTGTAAATGGATGACGAAATACAGGGCAAATGTGAAATTTGGGTACGGATGAAATTAATCACGTGTCAATTGGAATGCACTGGAAGATTGATTCCGTACCTGGCTTCTTTATTCCTGTTTATGATAAATTGTGAAATGTGTTCCATAAGTCAGAATTCAAATCTTTCAATCAATGAGTCATTCAAACAATCCGTCATT